CGTACTCGCCAGTCTCTAATCTTTAGTTTCAGTCTTCAACTTTCGCTCAAGGTTATTTGGTGTGAGTGTTGTCTTCTTGAAGTATCATTGTTGCTGATTGGATTTACTTTACAAGTTCTTCAGCGATCACTGTACAGACTCAGTGATGATCGTTGGAACTGAAAACAGAAACATAAATACTTCGCATAGGATAAAAGGGATTATCATCAAATCAAAATGAGAGAGAGGATCAACAATCTCCTCCTATTTGATGACAACAAGACAACATAAAGAAAGTTGTCTTATCAAATACTAATAAGAAAAAGTAACATATAAAGTACATGTCCCTTTTAACTATTTTGGGATCTTTTTCAGTAACTCAGTCATTACTTAGAGAATTTTTTTAAGTTACATTTAAGAAAAGTTACAAGAATAGAAACTGAAACTGAAAGCTTATTCACTGACTTATAGATTGTCAGTGAATGTGAAAAGTAACACTGGAACTCATAGACTTGTATCCCTATTACTTTTTTCAGGGATCTTTTTCAGTGATGCACAAAAATACTTATATTATATTCAATGGAAATATTACAAGGTGTTTAATACATGTCTACAACTTACAAAATATAAGATTAATCACTGAAAGTAGACATAGTAAGTAGATTACAAGATGTGGACAATATTACAAAGAAAAATAAAATAGTCTAAGATGTTCAGATTAATGTAGCCAGGTACATCTTCTCCAAGCTTCTTTCGACGTAGGAATTCTCTTCGTATCTTTCGGTCCATCGCTTTTCCTTGCAGGCTATCATCTACCCAGAACATGAGATAAACCAGATATCCCATTGGGCATAGATGTAGCTCAGACATTGTTAGGATCAAATTGTAACTAATTATTCTAAAAAGTTTTATTAAGCAATCGGGGCTAAGGATGGAAGATCTGAAGATGCTGGTGTGCTTAAAACGTCTATCCTCTGGTTGGTCTAACCTCTGGTTGGTCTATCCTCTCGTTGGTCTAACCTTTGGTTGGTCTATCCTCTGGTTGGTCTAACCTCTGGTTGGTCTAACCTCTGGTTGGTCTAACCTCTGGTTGGTGTATCCTCTGGTTGGTCTAACCTCTGGTTGGTGTATCCTCTGGTTGGTCTAACCTCTGGTTGGTCTATCCTCTGGTTGGTCTATCCTTTGGTTGGTCTAACCTCTGGTTGGTCTATCCTCTGGTTGGTCTATCCTCTGGTTGGT